TTTTTTTTTTTTTTTTTTCTTTTCTTTGGTGCATCATAATTGATTAAAAAACGGTAAGGTCAAAGTAATTAAAAACAACAGGGGGTCTTGTATAATACTCGCTTTAAATCTACTTTCCTAACATTTTTCTAATATCTAGGAAGTTATCACCAAGATCATAGTTGTTTATAAATTCACGTCATAACGGATAAAAAATTACCTTCCACAGTAGCAAAAATAGCTGTGGTGTTCAATAAAAAAAGGATTCATATATACTGTATCATGTTATTAGCGAATAAAACATTATATCAAGTTTCAAAGTCCAATTTCTCTTTCTTCTCATTGGCCAAGAGGGTGCCACGTGATGGTCGTCAAATATTTCACTGTTTCACTAAACCGTTCATAGCGGACAACATGAAGCTTTTCTAAGTCTTTCAAAATAAAATAATTAAATAATAGAATGATTTAATTTTTGATCAGATGATTGCTTTATAATCTATAATGAGGTAAAGACGTTCGATAATATAACGAGCCACACTCTCTCATCAACCAAAAGACCCCCAACTGATTTAACTATGCCCTGGGTGCCTTGTCGTTCCCTTTTCTCTTTTGTTGTTTTAGGTGCCATCACTCGAACACTACATTCCTTTCCACAGGATTGACCACTGATAATCAGAGGGCCCATGACGACTGCGGCGGGGACTATATTTCTTTTACCTCAGTAAACCCTGTGAGTGAGCAGAGGTTGTTTGTTCTTTCCCTTTGATAAGGGCTGAACGAATGGCTAGTCCAAACGGAGGGCAGAAAAAGCCTGTCAATAAAATGCTTATAGCGTCAGTGGAATTGTATTTTTTCATGCTTTCGGGCCCTTGGTCCATCATCAGACAGATTGAGAATTACAGTTTAATCTTAAACACGAAAAGAAAGCTCCAATCAACGTAAAAGAAACTTCACTTTTCGATATTCCTCTTTAATGTTACCTACGTATCACTGTATTTAATTATTTACATTTTTAAAAAGGACTTTTCACAAAATTACCATGGATGCAAGGCTAAAATGGAAATACGAAAGAAATGCAACGAATTCCATCAAGAAAAAGCGTGATTTGTTTTTTGTTTTTTGTTTGCAATTTTATGCGTTTTGCGCATCCAAAAAGTTTTTGGGAAGGGTCTATACCAACACGAATCAGCCATGTTTATTCTCATGAGAATAAAAACTTCTGTTTCACTCGCATAAATGTATTCTCAAGCACTTGAATGCGAAGCTACGCGTGGAAAAATCTATTGTTCAAGTCAACATGGCTGCCGCGCCGCGTATGTTAAACCAATCCAAGGCATTTGTCGCAGTTTCTCTTAGTAACGATCTTTCCACCCAACCCAAACGGCGTGGAGCGTCCTCCTACTTTCACAAGAATACCGTTGTCCATATGGTTTTTTTTCAACTGCGACAAATGCCTTGGATTGGTTTAACATACACAGTGCATTATGGGATCTTCTTGTTATGCAAATTAGTCTTGTTATTAAAAATGCCGGTATAAATAATAAATCGATACATTTTTAACTTGTAAAAATTAATGTTACCAAAAAATTGAATATGCACTGATTTTTTAGTAATTGGTTAAGAAAATGGTTAAATAGGTGCTCGTAAAACCATAAATATTAAAACATCTTTATGTCTCAACTGGAACACTAGTTGCTACAATATGAAATATAGGAAAATACACTCTCAATGTCGTCCTAACCAGTTGCTAGTTTATAACTTTTTATATATTCTTATATATCTTACCTAACTAAATTCAGCTGCTTAATCATTGTTTTACTGACTAAACTAACTAAAAGAATTCTACTGCATTTTATTATTAGATTATATTCTTGATTAACTATTTGGAGTAAAGTCCATCTTGAGTCAGCGGTCTTTGGTGGGAGGGTGGCGCATGCTCAGTGTTCAGAACATCGTCGACATCTGAAGACAAGACTAACACAGTGTTTATTTATTGGATTACATAAATGTGGATAAACGGTAGTTTTCAGCTGGTTCTCGTCCATTTTTTACCTTTTCTGCTCCCGAATTCTGATCTTCAACCCCAGACTTACGACGAACAACGTTCAAGTTGATAATAACTTCATTGGGAGCTCCATTTTCTTCCCTCTTGACCTCCAACTCGTAGATGTTCTTGTTCATGTGGTCCTCCATCTGTAGTACAGCCAATGGATACACCAACATCATAGCAAACATGTCTTCGACGAGGTTACCATCAATATGGAACTTTTCTCTTATCGAAGCTCGAATACCCGTACCGTACGCCACGAACCCCATGTAGATGGCCCAGCCGATATACATACAGGTCTTATCAAAAACTTGGAAAATTTCCAGCATAATCCAGGTATAAAACGGCAAAGCCACAAAAACCATGGCCACAATGCACTTGTATTGGGACAGCTTTCCTGCGGCGTTACCAGCTGACCACCAGGGAGCAAACACAGCCAGTATTAAACGCCCAAACGCTTTACAGGAGGTTAGGTTATAAATGTAATCTAACAGACCGGTACTGAAATGGGGTCCATTAGGATCCATGTCACCCGCTTCTATCTTAAGCGTCCTCCATAGCGCAACACATACGAAGTTGACGACCAATGTATAGATAAGCCCAGAGCAGATGGAGACAGCTTGCAAGGCGTCCATGGCTTTTCTGCTGCCGGCGGCGACCAGTGCTGTTGCGGCTGCTCCTTCGGTCAACGCCCAGAAAATCCTTTGAATGACCGGTGGATCTGGGTGACCGTTGGACGTAACGCTATCGATTACAAGAGAACCACTGTCTGAGCTGGTCACAAAGTAGAGAACCATCGAAACCAAGGATATCCCGGACAGGAATTCTGCACTTCCACCATATTGTAAGATAACATCGAACCACATGTCTCCTCCGTTTGATCGGCACGACAGACGGTACAGGGTTCCATCTGTTTGCGTGGCATTCACACCACAAGTTAAATTGGCATTCTGTGCTGCTCTTTCCATACGTAGACCTGCGCCACCGAACACAGAAAACCACATCAGGCAATACACGACTGGGATAGTGAGGGTGTAGGTGATGAACGATCGAATGGTACGCCCTCTGGAAATCTTGGCGATAAATATACCAACAAGAGGCGCCCAAGCGATCCACCATCCCCAGTAGAATACTGTCCAGCTATTCATCCATCCTGGTGCTTGTTTCTTGTCAGGAGCGTCTCCAAGCTGTGCAAAGGCATCGGTGTGGAAGCCCAGCTGCACCAGCCACTGCAGATAATAACCAAGAGACTGGACAAAGACATTCAGAAGGTACCAAGTGTCATCTGCGAATAACACATAGAACCAAAGGAACATCCCAAGGGTAAAACAAATCTCACTCAAACGGCGGATCCCAACCTTCAGACCGCTAACCACGGAGAGTGTTGCCAATATAGTGATGCCCCAAATCAGGATGATTTGGTTATTCTTGTTTACCCCTATGTTGTCATTCAATCGATGTACACCACTGTTGATCAACAAGACGCCGATACCCAGGCTGGTACATACGCCGAACATGGTGCACACGACAGTCAGGATGTCAATCACGTCGCCGAAAATCCCAAAAACCTTGTCACCAATCAGTGGATAGAAGCACGATCTCATTGTCATAGGCAAGCCTCTACGGAAGGTGAGGAAGCCGAGGACTAGAGCGACCAGGTCGTAGACTATCCAACCATGTACGCCCCAATGGAAGATGGTCAGGTTTATGGCATCTTGAGCCTTTTGGTTGTCAGAGTATCTGAAATTAATAGTCAGAATGTTTACGAGCGATTTGTTCATTTACCCTATCTATTAATTCCTTCCTTCCTCCCGCTTTCTGAAAGTTCTGGTTGAGTGATGACAAGTTTTGGTCGACACTAAATAGCTATTATTTGCCAGTATTACAGTTGCAATTTTGATTTTATTGCATAGATTTACTACATCGTGTGCGCTCTATATGAATATGATTCAAATGTCTTGGATCCTGAACCACTAAGAGTGTCATCATACGTGCAGCATTCTGAACAGCAGATCCTGCATCCATCAATCACTAGGCATCCATGCATCCTATAATCCATCCATCCATCCATCTCATCTCATCCAAACAACCCATCCATCCATCTAATTTTCCCTTACGCCAAGATATTCCAGCTCTACTATTGGCCGTTCCAAGTTGGTATTGCTGTTCATCGTGTGTGGGGCTGTTTTCGGAGACAAGATGGCCGGCTATCTCCTAAACAGCAGCCCCAAAATGCACTGTGATGTCAACTCAACCTTAGTTTTTTCCTCAACATAGGTATGGCCAATAGTCTTAAACAAGAGAGCACTTTAAATGAAGTGATACAAAACGTCACGAAATTACCACTTTGATTCGGTCACTAAGCAAGCAGTTCTAAAGCTTACATATTTTCTAGAGGCGTTGACTTCACGCAACTCTAATCTCGATCATTTAAAAAATCAAACAGCGACGGTTCAATGACTTCTTCTTATTGAGTTCAGATATTGTTGACATACTGGCATCATTCATTAACATTTTAGGAACAAATCATGAATTAGAAAATTTAACGAAGAAAAACACGAAAGAAAAAAATTAAAAACATAATTCCTGACATTATTTGATGTCAGTTCAGTAGAATTTGAGGATAATGCACTTTATTTTCAATGCACTTTATTCTGTATTGGTTATCAAACAAAGAGACGCATTTTCCTAATCCTTATAATAATAATAATAATGAAAGTGTTTTAATCAGCGATGTTCATGTATACCTTCCTTGATAACGGTTACCCCATTCTCCTCCAGGGGCATAGTGATAGACAGGTTCCGCCACGCCATAGAAAAACATCCCTGTTCCGATACCAGCAGCAAACAGCATTGTAAAGTAGGTTGAGTCAGAAAATTCCGGTTTGTCGTCGTCCTTTCCCAGCTTGATTTGGGAGTATTTGCTGAAATATRAGTAGATCAAGAAGAAAGCCCACACATCTTGTGTTCCTATGTACAACCATGTCCATGTTTTGGTCACCCATTTCATCCATTTTACCATTTCAGCGGATATTATGGCTGTCTCTGTAAGGCAGAGGATCACAAACACCCAAATCAAAAGGGCAGAGACTATGGTAACCACAGGGTTAAAATTGAACCGAAAGCGCCCTTTGCCAAATGTAACGTGAAGGCATTTGTTTCGAATGCTTTCTTGAAGTCTTTCTTCTTCCTCTCGATCGGCAGTAGTTGCCATCTTGTTGTCGGCTCAACACGAGGAGCAAAACTGCGTTGAACTGCGCACCTTTTCAGTTTTATACCTCGTGATATGCATATTAAATAGCGATCGAGGCCCAGTAATTTTACTACGGACTTCACAGACGTCCTTGTAGTGTAAGGGTCAAAATAACTGACAGTTGAATTAGGCTTTCACTAGACTGTAAAGTTTTTGTAGTCAACACGTATCTTTTTGATTGAAATATTTTCAATTTTTCATCATAACACCCGAGTAGGGAATCCAAAAACGCTAATGGGCTGGTATATGGCATCATTATTTCATACTAACAATGATAATAATTTGTATGCAGAAAAATTGAGAGCATATTTACTTGAGATCGATCAATATAATGCGCTTTTAGGTTAGATCAAAGAGGAACACAAACATTGAGTGTTTACAGGAGTATTCCAGCTTCAAGAACAATCAATCTCTATAAGTGGTTAAACGGCTCTTTGAGGGGTTTGCCTAAAATATGGAATCTGGAATCCGGAATTCGGAATAATCGCACGGAATACTAAAACGCGGAATCACCAAAAAAACTTTGAATTTGATGATTGAATAAATATATTTTCTACTTTTATTGCCTTGAAAAAAAACTTTAATAGGGAATCATACCCGATTGCATCCTAGTGATGCCCAATTTTTCGCACTCGGTTAAAGTTCCCTTAATTGATAGGAATAGCCGATGAATAAATACTATACTCCGAATTCTTTCCGCCGAGGAATGCGTTGAGGTTCTCGTCGTATTACCGCTATACCATCAACTTCAAGGCATTATATCAAAAGTAGAAAATATTTATTTGTTCATCAAATTCAAAGTTTTTTTTGGTGATTCCGGGTTTTATCCCGTGCGGTTATTCCGGATTCCGGATTCCAGATTCCAAAATCCATGTTTTAGGCAAACCCCTCTTTGGGCAATGACCTGTACCCACGCAGCTTGGAATAACTAATGGTACTTGTGCGCTTATACCAGCCCTCCCTCACAAGGTTGTGTTCAGGAGTCATATTTCCCGCGATGCATTATTTTGATATCTAGATGGAAATGTATTACGTAAAGAAAACAGTCATAGCTTTTAAACCAGGCAATAATTGAAATTTAAGCGGAAAAACGTGGCATAAACGTGCAATACACGGGTGATGAGGAGTGACAGGTGACAGCATGGACGCGCACGTGTGCTGTATGGTGTTTAGGTTAAAGTACCAGCTTTTCGCTACTGTATAATAACTGATGCTTTTTATGTTATTTTTGATTGCAGTTTTTGGAAGTTCAGTTAGGCCAAAATGTTCGTTTAAAAAATATGTATGTTGCAAGCTGCGTTAAAACTGGCTAAGTCCAAAACCAAAATAGACCATAGTTAATGGACCATAGTTAATGGACCATAGTTAATGGACCATAGTTAATGGACCATAGTTAATGGACCATAGTTAATGGAGCGGAATGGTTGGGAAACCTATTGTTATAGGGAATATAGTAGTTTCTTTTCTAAAAAAAACTCTAAAGATAGTTATTATTTGTTAATTAATCATATGTGATTAAGATTGATTGTTGATTGAAAATGAAATCGCCTTTTTTCATGCTTTGTTATTTATCATCTAGTAACTCAACTTTATCTGAGCGGAAATATTAATCCGCATAGTTTGTGGTCATCGAATAAAAGTTTTCACTTTCAAAATGTTCATACATGAAAATAATAAGGAAATGAGTATTTTTAGCCATACTTAGTGGTACATGTGCACGGTCAGTATCACTTATACGCAAAACAATAGTTCCATTAAGTATGAGTAGACAGGGCGAAAGAGTAATTATTTTCAAATTTCAGCTAAGATTTCTTTACTTCATTTCACATTTTGACGATTTTATTGAGGCTCTTAAGGATCGCCAAACATTTTCTTATTCAAAAACATGACACTACAAAAACCTAGCTTGGGCTACCTGTGCAATATTGCTTTGGGCTTCCTGTGTCACAGGGAAGACTCAGTGATTCAAGATGGCGGAACACGTGCACCAGAACCTAGAAGGCATGTTGCCTGAATTAGAAGAAATGGAAAGACTAGGGATATTTAACAGACATGAAATAAGGTACTTTATTATTGTTTATAAGAGAAATAGTAGAAAAAAGTTATGATATTCGAAAGGTTGATTCTAAATTTCCTAGATATTCATAGAAAGTTGATTCTCAAATTTCTTCTTATTTGAAGGGTAATTCTTCTTGGAAACTAAAAATGCGAGTTTATTGGGATTAAAACTTTAATTAACAACCGATACTCCGTAATATGATGCTGGATGCCAAGATAGTTAGATAATCTATAGTTAAATGCTTTATACATGTATTTAATTCATATTTTTCTTCAACCCAGAACAATAATAAAGAAAAGGACAGAGTTTGAATACTGTTTGCAAAAGAGAGCACCTCAAAAACAAGATTTTCTTCGATATATTCAGGTAGGGATATAATGGTGGTGGTGATGGTAAAAGTCGTGTTGGTGTGGTTTGTGGGAGGGGAGGGGGGGGGGAGGGTAAAGCTGCATTGTATTGGCTCTGATAAGTAGCTAGATTTCTTTCTCTATTGTAAAATATCTAGCAATTCCTCTCAGTTTGTATGGCTTGCTCTAACATTGACAAGTTTGGTAAACTCTCCTAAAACACATTCAAAACTTGCCACCCCACCATTATAATGATTACATAATAAGACAAATAAGACGTAATACTCCCTTGAGCTTGACAATCTGATTAGTGAAGTGTTTTTTTTAGTATGAAATTAACCTGGATGTTGTTAGGAAGAAAAGAAAAATGGTAAGTGTCTCTCGTATATGGCTGACAGCCTTGTAGGTTTTCCTGCAATAACTGAATTCGATTTTTGCATGATATCGTAAATTATCAAGACCTCAACCTACAGCTTCTGCAGATAACACGGCCTTGGTCTTGACAATTTATGATATCATGCTCAACCTCATCCAATAATCATCCACCATATTGAAACACCAAGATGGCTGTTGTATGCATTTCTACTATTATTATGCTATACAGCCTTGAAATGTAACCAACATGTTGTTTGAACCGCTTTACAAGATTATGAATCTCTCATCTTATCATAATACGAAATTATGCTTTTGAAATTCATGATGACGTCGTAGGTGAAAACCAAGAATTTTTATTTATTTATATTTATTGTTATTTCATTCTTTATTTTTTATTTAGAAAACCAAGAATTGACATGTATAATTTTTTAATTTTTCAGTCACAAGGCTTCAAGAGAACTTTGAAAGGAGAATATGAAATGAGTAAACGCATGCATTTACTTTTTAAGGTACATGGAATCTTACTTTTCTTTAGAATGATGAAAAATGCTGTTTTTAGACTATTTAAAAAGTATGAATGATGCTTCTTTGACTGAATATTTTACAATATTCTTTCGTTTTCAGAATGCGCTTCAAAAATTTAAGGTAACTATCTGATATTAATGGTTGTTGATGATTATCACTCTACTTTTCTTTTAATTAGTTATCTGCTGAATAAATCTTATGAATCTCATTACCTGAGTCTATAGTGAAGAGTATACAAACACTGCCTCCTACATGGTCGTTACTTTATGTTCATTTCTATTGAAAACTTATCTGACATTCAACTGGTAGACTGACATCTATTGATACATGTAGCTAGCAATTTAGCTATCAATCCACTTACTTGTCCATCCATCCATCCTTCCCTTCCTCTTATCCATCCATTCATCCATTTCCTCCCTCTTATCCATAAATCCATGATCATTATTCATTATTTCTTTCATTTACCTTCTGACAGCAAGATACAAAGTTATGGCTCCAATACATCCAATACTGTAAAAAAACTGTAAGTACACGTCACTATGATATGTTCAAAGTGGTCATTGACATTGATTAAAGTACTTGGGTTATCTTCTACTGTCACCAATGAAATAAGACATTTTAAATATACGGGCGGAATAGTGGTTAGAGAGCTTGCCTCTCATCAATATGACACAGGTGTAAGTCCTGCCATGCCCAGTGTTGTATGTGAGTAGAGTCGTTTGTTGGTTCTCCAGTGCTTTGAGGGTTTTCTGGATTCTCTGGTTATCCTCCATCCATAAAAATTAACTTCTTAATTCCAATTGGAATCCAGTGGAAGAAGAGCCACTCGGTTAATCCACTGTTAATCCCATTATTATTTATTATTTATTTATTATTTATTTATAAAAAATACAGTACGTTTTTATCTGGACATGTCTCGGCATTGTCAAATACTATTCTCAATGTTTCATAATGAGGTGTTGTATACTTGTGTCAATAGGGTAGTGTTAAACTCCTTGGTAAAGTGTTTGGTCGGCTTCTTCAGTACCATCCACACATTCCTAGTAAGTATTGAGGTAAAGATGCATGGTAAGGTTTTCTTGATAGCCATGTGCAGAGAAGCCACAATAGGAATTCTCACCTTTGGAAATGAAAACTCTAACCTTCTGGAGTATTCTTGTTCCAGAACATGGTAGCATAGTGTGAATCTTGTTAAACCACACTTGAATAAAGATAACCAAAGTATGTGTGTCTTGCATTCAGTTATTTGCTTCAGCCTTCGGCATTTGCAAAAAACTGGTTTTTTGGGGGGGGGGGGGGGGGGGGGGAGGGGGTCATGTATCCTAAAAGTTGTGTGTTCCAATTGGATGTGTGAGCTGGTAATATTTTCTATCTGTGCCTGTAGTCGGGTAATAATCCTTACATAGTGCTTACATTATCCATGCGCAATGTATGAGATTATGGATTGCTAAACAGCAGTTTGGATAGAGAAAAAATTAACTTAACCCTAACCCTAACCCTAAGCTTAACAGCCTTGGTCCATATATTTAAGACCTCGGGCACAGGATTTCCCTATCAGGACTCCCTGTTCAATAAATAACCACTATGTTATTACCATGATTGTGGTTACTAACCAATAATGATAAATCCTCATATTTTGCTTAGCCTTGTTACCTTTTCATTTTCAATTTCAGATTTTTGGGTTATGGCTGCCAAATGGGAATTTGAAGAAAACAAGGACATCCCAGCTGCCAGGTGGGTACTGAACATTTTAACATAACCGCCTGTTTCATGCTTCTATGACCTACTGTAACCTACTCCAGATGTCTCGGGTTTTGGCTTCTGTCAAATTTTGACAGGCAAGCTCATTCCTAGTCATTACAATCACAAGCGATAAATATTCCTATGACACGATTCCCATTTTCCCATGCTGTCATGTTGTGGGAATATTTAATTGCTAGTGATCTGAATGAGCTTGGACCATCGTAAATTCAATTGACGGAAAGCAAACGTCAGACATTGAAAGTCAGTTAGGTTGCATAAGCATGGTATGGGCTATCAAAGGTTGACACCTGGTCAGAAGCTAAAAAGGCTTATACTTGAAATGATAAATTTCCTTTTTGTTATGTGTAGGAGTAAAAGGTTTATTGATACATGTTGTTTTTGTTTTGTTTTGTAACAGGACATTATTACAAAGAGGATTGAGGATGAATTCATCGTCCCAGCTTCTATGGCTTGAAGTATGGTTTAAAGGTTGTTTATATATTTCTAGATCAAGTTTAGCATTTTAAAATTATTTTCGCTTTCAATTTGTTTCAGTATTTCAGAATGGAACTTCTTCATGTCGAAAAGGTATACAAATATCGAAAGATCATAATCAAATGTCTTGTTGAAATTTTTGTTTGCTTTTTCTTTAAAATTTTTAAACTTAACTTGTTTTTTTCCTTATTAGGTAGCAAAAAGAAGAAGTGTTCTGGGACTTGCTCAGCTAAAAGAGGTAATGAAAATGATACTAATTTATTAATATTAGCAAAAAAGTTAATAAAAAATATTAATTGTTACCTGAGAAGTACTGATAACTGAAAATATGAATTTAAGTTTGGGTTTTGGTTTCTACCCACCAAATTTCCAATGGTCTCTGAGTTAATATTTTTGAACGATTGTTTGCTGAAAAAATCCAGTTGCTTTTGAGTTGTCTGGCTCATTGGTATAGTAGCTCAGTTTGTAAGAATGTCGGTCTGTTGTGCGGGAGGTCATGGTTCAAGCCTTGGCCAGACAAACACTCTGGGTCTTAAAATAACTGAGGAGAAGGTGCTGCCTTTGTAATTACATCAGCAAATCATTAGACCTTCAAGACTTCTCGGACAAGGACTTGAATCTGTAGGCCACATCTGTCTTCACTTTTAACCCTGTATAAGGTGGACGTAAAAGACCTACTGAATACGCTGGTGACAACCATCTTCAGTGCCAATTGTTTACACTACAGAACCCACAGTAATTAGCGAAAAATTGACCTTGTGGTGTATCACAGGACAAGTTTATTTAATAAAAACTCATCAAACGTATGAAGAACAAAGAAATATAATTTAGTTTTTAAAAAAATATTCAATTTTCAGGTTGAGGAAAATCAAGTAACCAATGCTTTTCTTGCTGGCAAAGCTGCAGAAATTGTATATAAAAAAGCAATAGAAGAAATACCAGGTAAATGTAGTATTAGTATTACAAAAGAGTAGCTAGCATATGTGTTTGTTGTACTTGTTTTTTATTCTTTTTTCATTTTTTTCTACGATTTCTTTCTTACCAGATGACATAGAGTTCAGATTATCCTTTCTTAATATTTATCRTCTGTTTGAAAACACCAAACAAAGCCAGGACCAAGTGTTTGAAAGGTATACATTAAACAAAGGATCATTGAAGATAATCATCTTTATACTGTAACTACATTGTAGTGCTTCCCTTGAGCTTTAATGTCTATTCTTTCTTCCTGCTCAACCAGAATGTGTAGTTCAAGAAAATATCCATTCCCCACCCCCACCCACAGAGGAAATTRGAAATTCTGGAGGGGAGGGGGGTAAGAGAATGAACAAAATTATAGAGTTTGTATGAAAGAAAATTGGAAGTTCCTGGGGGTAGTGGGGGTCCTTTTACAAATTCCCTCCATGGTTGGGGTATGGATATTTTCTGGAACAACACAATATCATGCACAATATGGGCTATTATGATTCAAGTTAGTTTCATTGTTTTAATTAATAATTATGTCATTATATGGTTAATTTATTCAGCCTTGAGAAAGACTTTGGCGACAGTGAAGAATACTGGAATGCTCTTGCATGCAGGGCTGTGGATGACTTAAAAGCAAGTTCTGAGAGTAAATCACTGAAAGGTAAAACAGTCTTTAAACATTTGAATAAAGGTCTCCTGGCAGGGATGGTACCAGAGGCAGGGATGGTACCAGAGGCAGGGCTGGTGAAGAGAAGTTTTGATTAGGGGCCAAATATTTCAGAAATCCCTTCTAAATATAAACTGAACTGTAACCAACCTCTGCAAAAAAACATGCAATAAAATAAAAAATATAATAAAAAACCAAAAATAGCAGCAAAATTACTGGAGATTTTGTAAAGGTTTTAGCCACCTCTACACTCTGTGTGAAACCCTCTGTGTTTCTCTCAATTTTTACCAGGGAATATGTTATCATGCATAGTCGTTTCTCTCCTGTGCTTCAAGGGTTTTTCTTCGGTTTTCCTCCCTCCACAAAAATCAATGCTTAAGTTACACTTGGATTAACTTAATAAAGAACTAATCCAAGACAATGTTTTTTGTTTTCAAATGCTTATTTTGTTTTTACTTTTCTTCAACCAGAGTCTCTAATGCATGAAGCAGAAGAAGAAAGAAACAGAATATTTGAAAAAGCAGTTCAACTATTACCTACAGGTGAATAAATCTTACGCCAATGTTTAACGAATAAAACAACTCTATATAGTCACTAATTTTATTTCAAATTTGAATATATTTGCGCAAATAAGAAAAACRGTTGCAGGATCTTCAGGTGTGCAGATGGCATCAGCACTGTGCTCCATTCACTAATAAAGCATAGTTTTTGACCAATCAGCACGCATGTACTATCCTAACTATATAATAATTTCGTTTACATATTAACATACATTGTATCCATTGTTTTCCTATTTCTTTATGGATCATTCCCTTGGGTATTATAGTTGTTTCTAATATTAATGTTTGAAGGTATAGAACATTTAATATAGAAAGTATGACTTGTTTCCTGTAGAAAAAATGTGGGATTATTACATTGATGCTTGTGAAACGAACCTCAAAGATGATTCACATTCTGATCAAGACAGGGTAAATATTTTATTGGGCTACCTGTGGTAGACTCTTTGAAACTTTCCTTCTCATGGTCAACCATTGCATTAAATTTTTGCCTGACCCCCCTCACCTCCACACACACTATGTTCACTTCTCCTACCCAGTTAGATTGCATCATTTTTCTTTTCATCCCCACCCCTCACCCTCTCGTTAGTTTACATTTGTCTCTTTTTGTTTCAAGATGGCTATTGAGAATTGCCTGCGCATTTGTGCAGAGGCCAACAGCAAGGATCTTTTATCAAAATCAAAACTAAAATTATGGGTAAGTTTCCATTCATCTATTCATCCATCCATCCCTCCCTCCATCTACACATCCATCCATCCCTCCATCCCTCCCTCCCTCCCTCCATCTACACATCCATCCATCCCTCCCTCCATCTACACATTCATCCATCCATCCATCCCTCCCTCCATCTACACATCCATCCATCCATCTATTGATTGCTAGATTGATTGTATCACTTCTTTAGGTACGTCTGTTAGTATTGACTGGAGACACTCGCACTGCTGTTGATGTGCTAGAGAAGAAGCTCTCTTATAAAACAACAGACTGTCATGCAGAATATTTGAGACTGCTTATCGCACTGGGAGGTAAGAAGGACAGTCTGTCCAAGTAGAAATGTTCTCTTCGATTGATGTAAATCAGCAGAAAATGAAAAGGAAGGAAGGAAGGAAAGGAAGAAAGAAAAAAAGAGAGGGAGGGAGGGTCATTTAAAATAGACAACAACAAAAGAAAAAAAAAAAAAGAATAGGAAAAAAAGTATAAAAGAAATTAATAATCAATGTCATTTCAGAATCAGAAGATGTTCTCAGTGAAAAGTTCTGGGATGCCTTGAAATCCACGGAAGGATCTGTAAGTGTTCCCTGTAAGCATAACGCACTATTACTGGCTTTCTACTCATCACCTACTTTCTATCAGGGGTCATTGCCGCTGTGGGAGTTATTCTTAGACTGGAGTATGACAGTAGGCAGAAATAATATCGCTCGGATATTTGAGGTACAGTTGTAGAGCCCTTTATATTATTTTATTTTATTTTTATTCTTGTCGATGATGATGATGTGATTATGATGTTAATGATGATGAG